CAAACTTAGATGCAGTCAAGACCATTGAATCACAGCGGTTCGCAATTAATAACAACTACACAACTTCTTTCGCCACAAAGTCATTCATTAGTTTTTGATGCTTTGAATATCACTCAATTAAATTGAATAAAAATGATTTTATGGAAAACAATATTTATTTTTCAATTAAAGCTTAATGATTATTTATAAAGTAATAAATAGGCGTTAAAATTATAGTGTGGACAATGATCTATTTAGTGAATTATGGTCCTCGATAAACCTTTAATTATTATGTTGAACAAATTAAACAATAACTTAGCTCTGCGTACAATTTACTATCTACACTGTCCAAGCTCAGCTGCGCTCTGTGGACATTTGAATTTGAACGAGTTCAACTGATTTACACTATTATCTGCGCTGTTACTAAAAGCATTCGTTATTTATCTCACCGAACGTACTTTTGAATATTTAAACGCGAAACGCACTTTTGTCGAGGCATAAAAATGTAGGTAAATAAAGCAAAGCGAAATTATTTCCCCCGGAGGGTCAAACCGGGCCTAAAGTGATGTAGGTAGATGAATTATACGATTTCGTTGGGTTACAACGGAAAAAGTATGATATGTGAGGGTGATGGCGGGTACGAATTGCCGCTCGACATTTTGTGTAAGTATAAATAGTAAGCCAGTTACGTATGCGATAAAGTTTTTTGCTTCCGCTGACTGAGTGTTGTTTACACGACTGTGAATTGGTTTCATGATTTGGGATTTATATATACATTATAATTATAAAGAATATGTATATACATACAAATTAATAATTTTATTCAATGTTATATAACTCAGATTGACATGAGCAGGTCCGTCCCGGTACCAAGACCTCACAAAAGACAGGCGTGAAGTGGAAGTGTTATACTTCTACGTTACGTCTCGTGAGTGAGGTAGCCGGGGCCCACTTTATTTAGAGGTGGCAATGCATGTGCAACCCTATTAGTGTTGCAAATGTTATGCGCGGCGGTTATTATTAAACATCAGTTGAAACGCCAGCTCGCTAGCCCTCTCTTCACATAAAAAAAAAACCTCCTGCCTTATCCCAACGGGGGTCGGGACAACATCTGAATCATGTTTTTTTTTAATTGTTAAAAGTTGCCAAGCGAGCAGGCGGTTCACCTGATGTTAAGTGAATAACGCCACCCATGGACATCTAACACCCGAGGGTTGCAGATGTGAAAGTTGTTTTGTCCAGGTTTTTTTTGAGCAGCCTCCTGTCTGACGTCAACCCTCCTTGGGAACAAACACCCAGATCTGGAACAATTATTTAAGAGTCACACGAATACATGTGCCGTTTTGTAATTTAACCCACGACCTCCGGCGCCTAAGACAATAGATTTAGAGGTAGATGATCGTATATTGAAAAAACGATATACTGGCAGCGTAATCGATGTTCGACAATAACTATACCTAATATTTACATTAATGAAAGAGTAAAAGAAAGAAGTGTGCAAAGATCTAGGTAGTGATTGTTAGTATAGAGAAAGATAGTGAAAATCAGTAATTTCTGACTTTCTATACGTCGTCTTTATATATATATATATATATATATATATTTTATTGAATAATATAGACCGATAATTTCTCTTGTAATAAATTAACATACATATTTGATTAATTTCATGTTTATTTTTATTTTGTTGCGCCAAAGAATATATATATATATGTTCAGGAAAGAGCTAAGGGTCTGGTAACTCACCGGTCTCCGCCTTCCACTGCCTCACGCTGCTGGGGCTCGGCGAACTGGTTGGCCGATTCGGTTTCTCGAAAAGATATGACCCTGTCTCTCCGAATAGTATTTCCATAGGTCGCTGGCACAGTATTCTTCGGGAATTGTTCGTACTCGTAGTAATAGCGAGACACACGGTAACTTTCAAAAGCAAAGGTGTTAACGTTTCGGCATACGGCGCGCAAGTCTATACGTCGCTCAGCCAATCAGAGGTGAGCGCGGTGTTCAGCGTTGAAAAGGATTGTTACCAGACCAAAAAATAGAAAATCCCTATCAACTTAATCATTGTTGTCACTCGCAATTTAAATGTAAATAACGATAACGAAAAAAAAATAAAACAAATTATGAAAAATGGTTCCGGTACGGAACAACATATATATATTTATCAATAAAATATATTATATATATATATATATATATATTTTATTGAATAATATAGACCGATAATTTCTCTTGTAATAAATTAACATACATATTTGATTATGTACGAATATAAAAAGTTACTTATACTTCTTTGGCGCAACAAAATAAAAATACACATGAAATTAACGCCATGAAGTTAGTCGATAAATCTCAATCAAAACACTTTATTGACGTTTTACACATGACTTGAATAAACACATGTTTTTTATTTCATTTGCCTACTTACTCTATTTGTCATTTCGTTTTGCAATCGCATCGTAAGAATTCAATCTCAAATATTTTTCTCTTACGCACCAAAACAACTATAATTTTAAAAAGAAAAATCTTTTTTAAGTCTTTAACTATTTTGCTTATATTATAGTGTTTAATTTTGGTGTAAATTATATACAGGAGTGGACAGAACAATTATCAGTAAATTTTCACAGGGAGCTTGCTGGGAAAAGAAAGCTTTTTCACGTTCCGAGCTTATTAACCATAGTAGTTTGTCCTAAAATAAAAATAATTTGTATTAAAAAAACGTGTAAAATATATTTTTTATAAGAAGAAAAATATTTCAGGACACATTTTTACACAACCTTTTCCCAAACTAAGCAACGTTTTAAAAATATGTTAATTATAGGTAAATGTCAAAAAGTTTTTATTGGTTGCCATGGTAAGTACGGTGAAGTTAGTCGAAGTTGGTCGCTTTCCAACCAACTTCATGTCGATTTTTGGCTGTCTCTGTGCGCGTGCAAAGCAAATTACTCTCATATTTTTTTCCAAACGCGCCTTAAGAACTACAGCTTCAAAAACATATTAATAACAAAACCTATGTCGAAGCGAGAGCTGGTGCCGTAATAGGAGGCCAAAGGCCGGCTGATATTAACCTTGGGGGCATGCATCGTGAAGAGACAATCACTGCATAACTGTCCGACGCACCCAGGTCGGACAATGTGAATTATCGCAGGAGCGTTCTGAGGAAGGTCGACTCGTCACGTCTTAGGTTAAGGACAGTAGGGCCGAACAACACAGATATATCCGATATCGTTACGACGGTGACTAATGCCCCGTCACTGTCCCACGCTCTGTTTGCATAACGATCAAACAACGCTTTCCTATTGTTTAGTCCTTTTTTTATTTATGAAAAAACGCAAAACGATTAGATGGTTCACTTGATGTTTAATGATTACCACCGCTAATGGATATCTACAGCAACTACCGTGTTGAAGATGTGTTGCCAATTCATTTAAAAAATGGGGCCCGATCCTCTTCCACTAGACTACGACCGATAGTATACGACTCCGCGCTGGTATTCTGTGAGGTCTTCCTAGGCAAGAATGCCAATTCATACAAAACTAAAGATTGATGCGTGGACTTACCACACAGTAAGTTCAACTTGCCACGTCAATTCAAGTTACCACAGATTCTTAAGAGGTCGGTAAAAATGTGGCAAATAATATGACCAATGACCTTTCTTCCTTTAAAAACATTACCTCCAGTGGATTACTATTTGTTAACATTGTGTTCTGACAAACATATGTCTTATTAACATAGATCTGGATTAGTTTTCTTAGATCATATCGATTTTACCGTAAGATAATAGAACCCACAACCCCAAAACTAACATCTGCAGTTCCATATCTGCGGCAACGCTGGGACCTCAAAAGTAATATGTAATGCAAATTTGTATTTAACATCCTTCTGCATGAACCGACCGGTCCAGTTCTACTTAGAGAATACGTGAAAGTTTTAATACTTTTGTGTTTCGTATATTGAGTGAGCTAACCGAGGTGCAATAAAAGTGGACCATTGTTAAAGTGTCAAGTGTTATCTACTTGCTTTTTAGTGATCTTTTTATAATAAAAATGTCAATCCTTTCTTTTCATAAAAAATATGACTAATTTTGCCGGCACATTTGTATTTATGTACAAATAATAATCACCACATCTTCATTTTAGATAGATGAAGAAAAAAAAAATATTGTTTTATGATTATAATTATTCCGTTGTATCCTATTTTAAATAATTACCGCTAAGTTACAAAATGGCGTCAGGAAGGCACATTCTTCACGTGTGTAATCGTTGAAGTATGCGCATTCGAGGGCGTTCGTTAGGAAAATGAGTCGAGTTACTGACTTGGAAATCCCTCTTGTAATTTATAACATAGCCTTCGAAAATATGTTGGTCGGGCATCGAAATGAGTAAACTGATATAAAGTATTCCAAAGGTATTTGATCATAGACAAAATTTGTCACCATCCTTTATTAAACATTCTTTTATTAGGACTAAAATGTGTCTATGATTTAATCTTGTAATATACAGATTATACGGATGAGTCAATAACACTACATTGCAAATACGAATAAGCTTCCTTATAATTTCTAATCCACCTGATTTTAAACAGAATAAAAAAGTTCTATTATAAATGTTTTTAAGGATGTCATGTCACAACACTAACAATTTTCTAAAAGCCTTTTACGAACAATTTAATCAACAACGTTTAAGATATTGAATATTCTTATCTTATACCCACTGTAAATTTATTTTCACATCAAAGTAACAAATTGCCTTTGATAACGCTAATAGGTTTATGAATGCAGCATGTAAGTTTCCAGTTTGTTTTAACTTCTGTCGATATATGCATTTATAATGAATTTAAAAAGCCGCTACTCTAATGCTAATATAATCAGAAGAAATAATGAATGCATTTTTTTTCTGAATGGCGAGAGTTCTTGAAATATTTGAGATTTTATCTTGAAAGTTTGCGTATCCATCATCTTTAATTAAGATATGTCCGCCTGGTGTCGTAGAAATTTCAAATAAGTGCAGTAATTTAACCATCAAATGATTTGTGTTCTTAGCTGCAATCTGGGAAAATGTTATAATTATTCAAGAAACTACACATTATTGAAACATACCGAAGGGACAATTGAAGCGGAAATATCAGTTAGGCGGGTAAGTAGTCTGTTAATCACAAAAAATGCAACATCTTGTATTTTACATCATTATACGATAACCTATACTGAAAACGGCAGTTTAATTTAATTTTATTTTAAACATTGCCCTTACTTTAAGACAATATAATCCTGTGTTCTAAGAACGTGTTTCAAAATAAATTTCACGTGGACAAACACCGAGATCCGAGACAATTATCTGGGTCACACATATACTTGTCCCGTTTGGGAATCGAACCCACGACCTGCGGCACCGAAGCCCACACCTTGACAATTGTGCTACGGAGTCATCAACACAGTTGCGGCCCAATACACTAGAATGTCCGCATCCTCATGACTGCATACTAAATCTAACTCGAGCTGCAATAACACTGGATGTAAATACAGTACGCCGAGTGCACACGCAATATATTCTGGCAATATTCACACATCCACGTCAAATTGGAAACCATCGCGTGTGTAAACAGGGCATGAATTATTTCACAGGCGACTCATCACGGCTGGATGAGTGAGTATGCGTACGTGCCATCCACCGGTCACCCCTCGACGGGTATGCTTTCAAATCTATCCCGTCTTTATATCGTGGCTTAGTTGTCTGTTGTTAAATTTTAGATGAAAATTTTTCATCTAAAATTTACTATAAATAAGAACTGCTAGTACACTCTACAATGTATCCATATCCCCATAATAAATCTATGTTTGTTCCTTGTTAGACGACCTGCAAGGCGTAGTGTTTAGCGTACTTGCCTCCTGCGTCAGAGTGTTTATTTATTTACAAAAGAAATGTATGTTTATCAGTTATCTAGTACCCATAGTACAAGCGTTGCATAGTTTGGGACTAGAGAGCGTTGCTTAAAATGTATTTATTTGTTTTTTGCTTAGAAGTAATCTATGTTATATAAAAATGAATCCCTATTTCCCTTGGTCACGCCATCACGCGTGATCGGCTAGACGTTTGTTTTTATCAGGAAAAGGTTCTTATGAAAGAAAAAAATTAAAAAATTGCCTGAAAAAGTCTAAAAACAACAGTTTTCTATATTCCCGTACAAAAGATTCTAACAATACTTAAAAGTCAATTTGAACTTTAATACCATAGAGCCGTGATAGCTCAGTGTCCGGGCGCTCGCCTTTAATTCAATATACTCGAGCAACCTGAGTTCGATCCCCGGTGCCGGCACCAATGAAGTTTTTAACTTTAAGTGCTGACTTATCAAGTGCTCCGCGGTGAAGTCAAACATCGTGAGGAAACCTGCATATTTTCGAAATAATAACAAAAAAAAATGTTTCGAAGATATGTGAAGTCCGCCAATCCGCAGTGGGGCTGCGTGGTGGACTATGCCCTAATACCCTCTGTATAGAGGAGGCCTTTGCCCAGCAGTGGACATGTATAGGCTGTTACTTTACTTTTCTTTTTTTACTTTTACCATACCATAAAGTTTAAGTGTTAGTGGGGGGTTCCGGGAAGGCAAAACAAGTGAAGGAGCATATGTATAATACATTGCACCCGTGCAAAGCCAAAAAGGGTCGCTAGTTAATTATATAATCGCAGCTTTTCATTGACCTATATGAAAAATTATATTTAAAAAAATAAATCTTAAGTTAGCTTACATGTTCTGTTATACATTTTGCTGTGGTAGGGCCACGCGACAGCTTTTTGTGTTCCATGCTTGTCTGGGGAAGTACCACGACGGCCTCACAGAAGAGCGGCGTTAAGTAAGCGTGAGGTAGCCGGGGCCCACTTTTTTTAAAGGTTGTCAACGCATCAGCAAGCCATCGGGTGCTGTAGATATCCATGGGCAGCGGTAATCTTTTAACATCAGGTGAACCTGCTCATTTCGAACCTTTCAACAAAAATGTGATAAGAAAAAATTGACAAAAATATTTACTATCACTTATACCGCCATAAATATTACACAGTGAATTTTAAAAATAAGAAATCAGAAAAGCATAAACTCACTGAGCACCACTCGCCTAAATTTTTTGGAGATCCAACATCGAAGGCTCTAGGTTATCGGTGAGATTTTATCGAAATTCAATATTATGCGACAATGTCAGATGTATGAAATAACATGGCCGAGGTCCCAATCTAAGCACATGCGAGAAAGTGATAAATTTGTCAGGTAACAGTGCGTGATCGGAATTTGCGACAGTGCAAATCATCTGAAATATTGCGCGAGATTGAATTGTGCGGCTCCACGGGAAATTATTCACTATGTTATTCCCATAGAGGTCGATATGGGTTAAGGTTTCAGAATCCAATTTTTTATGACAAGATCTTTACGACCTATTACAGTTTTATATGCAAACTTGGAAAGATATGACGCATTAGAATAATTCGGTTCCTTGTTATTGAATTTTCTATCAACTTACTTCTATTACTTAATTGTCGTCTATGAAAGAATATTTTTAGGATTTATTAACTATGCAACAATAATTTATACCTAGTCAAGTAATAACAATAAAAAAGTAGTCAACCAAATATCACTAATAATATAATTCTGATATATGAAATGGATATTTGTATAGGAAAACGTTTGGATACTATTTATTGCTGTAAAAACAGACGTCAACCCCTGAACAATACGTGGAAGTTGTCTTGTGAGCGAGCATGTAATATTTATTGAATTTCTTATCAGAGGAAGCGGTTCACCTGATGAGTATTTCTCGCCACGAATGATAATAATACCCATGGGTTTGCAGGTGCTCTTCCTAGTTCATGTTCGGGTCCTCTTTATTTATTTTTATTCATATAATTTATAATTTAAGTACACAGAAAATTATGACAGAAACATACATGAAAGGATTTGTACAAAGGCCCTGCTCATTTCTTAAGAAATTTGTTTCAGCAGACCTGTGAGTGTGACTTTACCTTATTTACCAATGATATTATATACAAATACGAGGTAGATGATACTAGCGCATTGAAACTGAGTCACTCAAATTACGCGTAATTAAATTGCACTAAAGACTGCTATTTCTTCCCGTATTATACGTTCTATATCATCTGTCGCATTCACTTACATATATGTCATAAAATGTAAAGCGGAACAATTTTAAACTGCGCGCAGTATGAACTTGCGTCATCTTTGTTAAAATAACATTGTTATTTACATAGACATAGACATACTTTTATACATAGACATAGACATACTGTTATTATCCTGCGTCTATATAAATATTTCGAAACAACAGTACCATATCTATTAGGTGAACCTTCGTTGAAATTATGCCTTATTATATATACTTTAATATTACTCGTTTTGTTAAATGACTTATGCTATCGGCTAAGTGTTTGCAATGGTTGCATGTCACGCATATGGCTTGGACAACTTAATGGTGGACTTGTGCATAATGCCGCCAAGTTAAGTTTAGTGTCGACAATATAAACTACTGGTTGTTACATGAAATGCAGTGTTGCGTGTGAGCTTTGATACTCGCGCAAAGTAGGTGATTGCGAATGTAAGCAAGGAGAATCTATGTTGGTTTTGTTAAGCTTTTTAAGCATATATAGTACATGTTTACTTCGAAGACGGTGTATAGTACCTGTCTGCTGCGCCAGAGGGTGGAGGTTTGATCCCCACATAAAAAACATTGTATGATGAACATAGCGTTATTCTAATGTCTGGGTGTTTGTATATCTGTAATATATATTTATTTTAAAAAAATAGTATTTTTAAGTATGCTTATCAGTTACCTAGTATTCAGAGTGCAAGCTTTACGTAGTTTGGGACTAGATACCGCTGTGTGAAAATTTGTCCTGAAATATTAAAATTTAGTATGCCGTACAGTAATGTAAACTAAGACACACAACCCATTATACATTATTCTTATAGCAAGGCGTAACGAGGGCATTTCGGATTAGTACGAGTACACCACGCGAACTAACTACGGAAAAACAGACTTGCTATAACTTTGAAGAGTTTTTTTTTTAATAGAATAGTTACAGACTGAGATACGAGCTAATGAGCAAGCTGCTAAGATTTTTGGTAAGACTTTTTATCGTAGGCCGTGATAGCTCAGTGTCAAGGTGCTCATTTTAAATTTAAGCTATTCTAGTAATCTTAATTCAAATCCTGGTGCCGGCACTAATAAATGAAAGTTGAAATTATAAGTGCTGTCTTATCACGTGATGGGCATTGAAGGAAACCATTGTGATATAACCCGCACCTTTTTGAAATGATAATAATAATAAAAATATTCAGAATATATGTGAAATCGGCCAATTACCGGGGTCGTGTGACGTACTTGCCCTGATATTCTCTTCACATAAAATATTTTCCCAGCAGTGGGACATATACAAACTATTAAATTGTAGGCACGAGCTAAGAAAAGAATTTAGCTAATTTCACTCTTGAACCCCAAGCAAATAGAGGACGGTAATTGAAAATACATGGTGTATTGTCTTAAGTTAAAAATTAAAATCACGATAAGTCGGGCTCGTTAATAACTGTTTAGTAATTGTTTCAATGTTAGGAACATCTCTGAAATCTACGTAGAAGTCGTGGGAATAACCTCGTAAAAAAATTATAGCAGATATCAACGTCTATATGGTTTGCCCATGTCAGTCTGTTAGGTATTCTGTATTTTGTATGGAAGGGGTTGGGTATTAAGTCCTAACGACCACTGCGAGCTAGTAAAATCTATTTTAGTCTTACCTTCAAAAATTGTGTCCTTACTGTACCTGTGATGTAAGGACGTTTTGCATACATAAATTTCACATTGGTGTGTGTTCAATCGCGTGTTTGAATCATACCGCGAAGAAATATTTAGTGAACATAATTATAATAGAATACTAGCGGCCCGCCCCGGCTTCGCACGGGTATTTAACAAAATTTTAAAATTGAAAGTTATCATACACACACATAAAACCTTCCGAATATTTCGTCTTTAGTGAATAATTTTTATGAATTTCTTCATCTTTTAACGGAATACCCTTGAAATTACGTCATGAAGATCGAAAGACCGCTGACCAGATAATGGTTCCGCTTTAATTACGGGACATTCGGGGTTACACGTAAAAGTGAGAAATAAGTCTGGTCTCCCATAGCTTCGGACATAAATCATCGCATATTTGGTTTTTTAATGCAGATAACTCGGAGAACCTGTAAATGAATATGACGTTGCAGATTACGCGTTGACCGATATTTGATAGGTCAATGTCTTGATTTAAAGCGTCTCTAAGATGAATGTTTCACCAGCCCTCAATCTCTGGTGAATACGACATCATATGTAATTCAATATTTCTGATATCTTTTTGCTATCATATCGACAATGTATTGAACAAAAACCGGCCAAGTGCGAGTCGGACTCGCACACGAAGGGTTCCGTACCGACCTCACAGAAGACCGGCGTAAAATAGAAGTGTTATACTTCTACGTTTCGTCTGGTGAGAGAGGTAACCGGAGCCCACTTTTTTAATGTTGGCAACACAGTTGTTATCACTTAACATCAGAGGAACCGCCAGCTCGTTTGCCACTCGATCACATTAAAAAAAATCATGTTTTAATATCTTTATTCAATAGAAGTATAGAAGTATTACACTTACATATTGTCAAAAACACTACTACTGTCAACATTATCTATAAAAA